GCTAGGGGGCGGCGACGGTGGTGGGGCCGTTGACAGATGCAGTGGCAAAGTGGTGGTCACAACTGATTTTGGTGGGGTCACAAATGTTTTGGTTGTTTGTGACCAGTAATTTAGTTAGTTTGTGACCAGTAAAAATGCTTTGTGACCAATGAATTAGATAAACTGTGACCAATAAATATTTTATAACCTAAAAATTAGTAATTTGTGATCCAAAATTTGATAAATTGTGACCTAAATATATTTAATGTGATGTTTGTGATCGTAAATAAGTATTGTGACTTATAAATTTTGTAACCTGTGATCGATGAACAAATTGTGACTTTTAAATTTTTGAGTTGTGACCGACAAACAAATTGTGACCTATGAAAATTTTGAATTATAACCTAAAAGAATTTGAACTGTGACCAAATTGTATAGATCTGTGACCTTAACATATACGTCGGAATCGGATCAGTCATCGAAAAAGTCGTCGGAACGGTTGCCGGAAAAGAGTGGTGATCGGAACGGTCGTCGGAATAGCGGAGTTGTAGGGGTGGTGGAGGTGGGGATGGGTTAATTATTTTATAGTGGAATTAAATATTAATAATAAATTCATTTAATAATTATTATTTCATAATTAAATTTATAAAGAAACCTGATTTTTGAAATTTAAAACATGTTTTGATAGTTTTGAAATGTGTAAAAGAAAAAGGCTGATTTATGTATTCTTCCCCATATATATTACCTATGGGATGANAGTGGTGGTCGGAACGGTCGCCAGAATATCCCCGGAGTTGTAGGGGTGGTGGAGGTGGGGGTGGGTTAATTATTTTATAGTAGAATTAAATATTAATAATAAATTAATTTAATAATTATTATTTCATAATTAAAATTATAAAAAAACCTAATTTTTGAAATTTAAAACATGCTTTGATAGTTTTGAAATGAGTAAAAGAAAAAGGCTAATTTATGTATTCTTCCCTATTTTGTTTTGCCTGATAATTTCAAAATGATGAAGCCCAAAATGATAGCCCAAGAATAACTAACTAAAAGGGGGTGGATTGATTTTTAAAACATTTTTGAAGAATTATTCTAAATTCAAACAAGTAATTACTAAGCCCCTGTTTGACACCCA